GGGGATGTGGTCAGTGTGGTGAAGAAGCACTTCCTGAGTAAGGTGGAGCCGTAATGAGCAGCTGCTCTAAAGTCAGTCTCACCCCATAGCCAACCCCGGAGCCCGCACATTCACCCAGAGGTGGCGAACACTAGAGACCGGCTCAGCTCCTCCCAGAGCACTGTGGTGCATCCTGCGGCCTGCTCCTGGGAGGGTGCACAGTTCCTGTCCCTAGCGGGGCCTCTGCAAGCCTCTGCTGCCACCTAGCCCCCTGCACCACTCTTACTTCATCCAGCTGCCTTCATACTTCCCGTTTTGTTTTGTTTTGTTTTGTTTTGTTTCGTTTGAGACAGGCCCAGGTTGGCCTTGAATCTCATGCTTTGGCCTTCTGAGAGCTGGGATTTCAGTCCTGAGCCACCATGCCTGGTCTCGTTTCTCCATTACTTCAGATACCTAATACTGTGTAAATGCTATGAGAATAACTAGTAACTGGCATTGCTTAAGCCATCTTTGAATTTCAGTTTGTAGCGTTTGCATGTGTGTGTGAAGACCAGGGGTCTATGTCATGTCTATTTAGTTTTCACCCTATTTTTTATTTTATGTATTTGGGTGTTTTTTTTTTTCACCTGCATGTATGTGCGCCATAAGCATGCCTGGTGTTCAAGGAGGCCGGAAAAGAACATCAGATCTTTTGGAAGTTGAGTGACAGACAGCTGTGAGCTACTTTGTAGGTGCTAGGAATTGAACCCATGTCCTCTGCAAGAGCATCAAATGCTCTTAACTACTGAGCCAACTTTCCAGCTCCCAGCTTGCTTTTTAAAGACACGGTCTCTCTCTCCCCCCCCCACCTCTCTCTCCCTTTCTGAACACTAAGCTAGCTGATTCTTCAAAACTGGTTGTCCAGTGAGCACCAAAGATCCTCTCTGCTCCCCCAGCCTGAGATTACAGGTGTGCATTGCTATGCCCCACTTTTTTGTTTCTTTGTTTGTTTGTTTTTTTGTTTTTTGAGACAGGGTTTCTCTGTGGCTTTGGAGGCTGTCGTGGAACTAGCTCTTGTAGACCAGGCTGGTCTTGAACTCACAGAGATCCGCCTGCCTCTGCCTCCCGAGTGCTGGGATTAAAGGCATGCGCCACCAACGCCCGGCTTGTGCCCCGCTTTTTAAAGTGGGCACCAAGACCTGAGCTCAGGTCCTCATGCTTGTCAAGCAGCACTTCCTGACTGAGCCATCTCTCAGTCTTTCCCCCCTTCGTTCTTCTCTTCTTTCTTTTTTTGGGGAGAGGGGGTGTTTGTTTGTAGTTCTCATGCTAGGCAAGCACTTTACCACAGTTCTACAGCACCAACATTCCAATTTTAAAATGCTAATAAACAAAAACAATAACTGCTGAGAGATATTGGATTGTGGAAACTGCTAAATTAAACGATCTATATATTTTAAGAAAGTCTTAGCTTAATAATGGAAATCAGAAAGCGTGTTGCATTGGTGGAGAGGTTGTGCTTTTGTTTCCATAGGAAACAGGAAAAACTATGGATTCCTTTAAAATTCATGAAGATCAGATTTGACTGGGGGAGACCTCCTGAAAATCTTGGCTATAGGCATGGAGGAAAAAGGCCAAGAAAGACTACAGGACACATGATGTGCATGCTGATCCCTAGTCATGGGAACAGCTCTGAGACTGGATGAGACAAGATAAATCTTGTTGACTGCAGTGCTCATGACTTACTATTACATGTCATCCTTTCATATGGCATGGATAGAGGTTATACAGTCCAAACAGACTTATAAAGATGACAGATGCCTTTTACCTGCTCAAACATAGAACAAAAAATCATCTTCAGCTGGCTTGTGCACATGATACATTCCGCACTGTGTCGATACAGACATGTATGTTACCTTTAAAGGTTTGTGTGTTCACATCCCGGAGTACAATCGGAGTGAGGGAGGAGCAATAATATGAACAAAGAAGTCAAGACCACTATGGGGAAACCCACAGAATCAGCTGACCAGAGCTAGTGAGAGATTACTGACTCCACACTGTCAACTGGGGAACTGGCATAGGACTGAGCTAGGACCCCTGAACACAGGTGACAATGGTGTGGCTTGGGCAGTATATGAGGCCACTGGCAGTGGGACCAAGATCTAACTCTAATGCATAAACTGGTTTTTTGGAGCCCATTCTCTATGGAGAGATACCTTGCTCAGCCTAGACATGGGTGGGGAAGGGTGCTTTGGTCCTGCTTCAACATGGTGATGGGACAGACTTAGTTGACATCCTAGGAGAGGCTTTCCCCTCTCTGAGGAGCAGATAGGATGGTAGGAAGGAGAGGGAGAGGAACTGGGATTGGAATGTAAAAAATAAAAAAAAAAGATTTAAAAAAGTAATAAAAAGTAGTCACGATTTCTGGGATCAAGCTCAGATAGTCAGGTTTAGTGGCAAGTGCCTTTGCATGCTAAGCCATTTCACTGGCCCGCTTCCTCTTTATTTTGAGTTACCTGTGGGATATAACTGGAAATTCTGGTCTGTGTGTTTTCAGAAAAAAAAAAAAAAAAAAAAGGACTAGGCTCCAATGAAGACAAACAGCCCAGGTAATCTAGCCTCTCAGAATGCCTCTGTTGCAGTTTCCTCAAAATTCTACATCCAGAACAATTTCAAAGCTGCTAGCTGAGATGGTCCAGGCTCATAGATTACTTTATCCAGGACTTCAGGTAATCCCTATACTTTCCCATCACACAGAGACTGGACAACAAGTGATGCAGCTAGCTCTCCTAGGACTTGACCATTATCCCAGTTTTCTCGCCTCTTTGAGGAGATGTCTTTCTGAATGGGTGCTGTTTCACTGCATGGCATCTTTAGCTTCCAGTTTCTTTTCTTCTGAGTTGAACAATTCAGTTTTTGAGACGGGGGTTTCTCTGTGTAGCCCTGGCCAGCCTTGAACTCGCAAAGGTCTGACTCTACCTCCTGAGTGCTGGAATTAAAGGTGTGTGCCACCAACACCTGGCAGACACTTCCATCTTGATGGAGTGTTTCTATTCTTTCAAACAGTGTCTCTGTGAAGCACTAGCTGGCGTCAGATGTGCAGTTCTTTCGCCTTCCCTTTCAAGGGCTAATTGTAGGTCCACGCTACCACACTCACCTTTAACAAAACTTTCTCCTTCTAGTCTTGCAGACAAAATCCAAGGACTTGCACATGCTTGGCCAGCATTCTACCACTGAGCTATGTCCCAGATGTCCTTGGAATTTAGAAGTGAAACTAATGGCTCTCTGAGGGAGCAAATGTGTTATATGTAAAAGCTGGCAACCACTGGTGGCCCTGTCTTGCATTTGTGGGCAGAGAAGTAGAAGAGTTGGGGGTTCATAGAAGAGTACTGGGGTGTTCATGACACTGAACATGAGTTCCAGGTTCCTTTTGACATCTGGAATCCTGCCTTTGAGTTCCTTCTAGTAACACACTTCCCTTTTGCTAAGTAGTTTGAACTGAGTTTCTGAGATTTTCATTAGTTCATTTTGGAGGTGTGTGTGTGTGTGTGTGTGTGTGTGTGTGTGCACGTACACTAATATAGAACAAGCTAGTTTCAAACTAGCTACATAACCAGAAGGACTTGAACTCCTGATCCTTCTGCTGCCACCTGTCAAGTGCTGGCATTACAGGCATGTACTCTGTATTAATATTTTGGGATTTGTTTATCTTATGGTGTGAGTGTCTGACCGGTATGTATTTAGGTGTACCAAGTGCATGCCTGGTGCCATGGAGGTCAAAAGAAGGCATCAGAACCTCTGGAAGTAGAGATGTAGGTGTTTGTGACCCACCATGTGCATACAGGGAACCAAAATGGGTCCTCTGCAAGGGCAACACGTGGTCTGAGCCATCTCTCTAAATACCTCTGGCTCTGAATTTAAGTGCATAAGTGCTAATATATGCAATCCTAGGACTTTTTCTGCCAGATGGGGCATGTGGTCCGTGGCATCTTTCCTAGGCTCCAGACCAGAATTTCCAGTTATATCCCACAGGTAACTCAAAATAAAGAGGCAGGAAGAGGGCCAGTGAAATGGCTCAGCATGCAAAGGCACTTGCCGCTAAGCCTGACTATCTGAGCTTGATCCCAGAAATCGTGACAGAAGGAGAGAACCAGTTCCCAGAAGCTGTTCTCTGACCTCCTTGTGCACACACATGGGGACACACATGGTCACAGGCAGATACAGTCAATAAAAATTTAAAAATAGCTTTATTACTTATCATGCAATCCATTTCTTTTTGTGTGCTTTTCTATGTTCGTGTAATATTTCATCATAAAAGGTTGTTGGAAAGACTCGCCATTTCCTCTCTCTAAGCCCGTTCTTGCTGTTTATTTGAATTGGCAGCGTTGTGACCTGTGTAGTTTGCAAGGACAGAACTATGAAAGACATCCAACCTCTCCATCTTCTCCATCAGTCTCCTGGTGTGGGTGGCGACATGAACTACTCATAGTAGTGCCCCTCTTCTCCTGTCTGTTTCCACTGCTCCCTATGTGCTCCGTTCTCTCTTCTTTCTTTGCCATCTTGACCTTTTCCAAGGACATCTTTTTAGATAGATCTGGGGACAGAGAGATGACTCAGTGAGTAAAGGCATGTGCCACCAAGCCTGATAACCCGAGTTCCATCCCCAGGGCCCACATGGTGGAAGGAGAGAATTAACTCTCCCAAGCTGTCCACTGACTTCTATGTGTGTGCCATGGCACGTGAGCACCCATGCACAAGAATAAATACATATGATAAAACTTTTAAAATATCGATCTAGCCCCATTCATTCTCTCCTTGCTTTAAAATGAGGATTCATTGCTGCCAACAAGATGGAGTTCAATCTCTCCTCTTAGCACACAGATCCTTTATAATCTGTCCCTAAAGCAGCTCTCTCACCTTTAGTTCGGTATTTGTACTGTGACCCCACATTCAGTCTCCGAATCCATGGTTTGGCTTCCTTACATGCGTACTTACCCATCCACAGTAGCTTGAACTTTACTAACCGACTGGATATACAGTATTTG